AAAGAAAAGAAAAGAAAAAAGAAAAAAAAAAAAAAAAGAATTGATCCTCTCATTTCATGCTAAGCCCATTTAACTTTAATCCAAATATTTACTGAGCACCTACTATGCCCAAAGATCTATAATAGATCCTATGGAAAATATGACATGGACCCCACTTTTTTGTAGGAAAATAAGGTCCTTGCACTGAAGTAAACTGCAATATAGTTGGGAAGTTAAAACAGATATACATGGAAAGTCAACAGTTCAAAGAACTAGATTGGTTGTATATGACAGCACAGTTGTACAATGTTGTTTGGAATGGGGAAAGATCAGTATGGTCTTTAACAAGCCAGAAATGTTTAAAAGAGGATGTGGGATGCAGAGAGTAGTCCTTGACTGTGGCACGTTATAATTTCTAGAAAACAGCCACACTTCCAATCCCATAGCTCTTCCAGGATTTCACCACTCTCCACAAATAGATGGACTCTACAGCTTGGAGCGCCTTAAAGTGGATACAGTCTTGGTGTTTATGCTGAAGAGCATGTGAAAGCTCTAAATAAAGGCATACTCTACTGCTGAGTAATATTAACTGCATTGGATCCAGTTGTCTGACTGGTTCAGACAGAAACTAGCAATAACATGAGCGTTAACCAGAGTAGGCCAGGAGAGAGAAGCTTGTTTAGAACCACGAGTTGGGACCAGCAGTTAGTGTAATGGCTATGTCACTGGACTCCCACATAGTCGACCACAGTTGGAGTCCCGGACCCGGTGGCTTGAACTCGCGCCGGGTGCGTGCACGTGTGTGCCCAAGATCCCGAGAGGAGAATGGAGGAGAAGGGATTGCAGCGTGGCCATTCCCCCTGGGGGGGTGATTTCTTGCTTTCTATCTCTCTGTCTCTCTCTGGCTGGCTGGCGAGCACACGCGCCCTATAGCCAAAAAAAAAAAAAAAAAAAAAAACCACGAGTTTCTCCCAAACCAAAAAAAAAAAAAAAAAAAAAGAACCACGAGTTTCTCCACAGCTGAGCATGAGGCTTTGCCTTCCCAATAAAAGAAGAAACACAGAGGAACACAGATAGGCTTGGGCCTGTGGTGACGTTCTCCAGCAGGGACAGTGAATTGCCTCACACCCTGCCCCCATGCTTTTGTCTGTTCTGTCCTTTCTCAATTCACAGCCCTTCCCTTTGGAGTACTTTACTTATTTGCCATCAGCCAGAACACTCTACTTAGTCTCTCTCTTGAAGCTGAATAAGCTGTGATTATTCCAACCAAGAGAGCACAGTGTAAATAATACCATGTAACTGCTGAAGCTAGGTTATTTTTATAAAAGAAAGGATGTGGCTTCCATACAGCTTTCTCTTTTGAAATTAGCCAACATGCTATGAGAAATCGCAAACTAGCATATGCAGAAAAGCTACATAGGCAGGTCCTCATGGAGAGTGAATAGAAACTGAGGACTCCAGCCAACAGTCAGCGTCACCCCTTTGATTTATAACTGAAGTAGTCTCCAGATAACTTTCACCTCCAGCATTTGAGTTATCTAGCGGAGTCTCCAGACTTTGTGGACTAAAGACAACCTACCTCCTTGTGCTTTGTTCAGATTCTCAACCCATACTATTAGCAAGCATATTAAATATTTACTTATACCACTAAATTCTCAGGTAATTCATTATACAGCCATAAAAGTGTTTGGAACACTGAAAATGGATAGGACCGCAAAAGAGTGAAGGATGGGTACAAAAGTAATAACACAATTTTTGACTGGAGAAGATTCTTGGTGAATAATCAGGGATAAGATTATAAATAAGGTCACACACTGATGGATGTGTCTTTGAGTTATATTCATCGTGCTCTAAAGATTTCCTGATTTATCCTGAAGGTAATAGAAAGCCATGGAAAATGAGTGTTGACATAGCAGAAGACTAGAATAAATGTAGTAGTACAGAAAGATTATCTGGGGGTCATGCAAAGGGTAGTCTAGAGAGAAGAAAGTCAATTTTGAGGTATTTGTAAGAATTCAGCTGTGATAAGTTCTGTTGTAAAGAAATGGCACTGGAAATAGAACTCCCAAAGAAAAATTATTCTGACAGAACCGCTAATAGAACAAAGGAGATGACCTGACTTTAAAATGTAATCCCCATTATTTTACAGAACTTCTGAAATAATTAATATTTGCAATACTTCAACACAATTCTTTATTATATATCCATGAATTTAGCCTTTGTGCCTA